CGCCTGCAGGGCGCCGCGGGCGCAGCAGGGAGGGCGGGCGGAGGAAAGCGGGAGAGGAGGAAGAGGAGGGCGAGGGAAGGAGGAAGGCGTGGGCAGGAGCTCCTCAGGGAGGGCGACATCTCCCCCCTGCAACCCACGAGGCGGCTTCGAAGTGGGGGGGCTGTCTCCGCCGTCCGTATTTTCATCCTTTCTTCACCCCCTTGGAGCAGCTGGGCCGTGTCCCCCATGTTGCCCTTGGGCTGGTGAAGGCCTCCAAGGGGAATCCCAGTTTCACAGGAGCCCTTCTTGGAGGAGGCTAAATGGGGCTTCTTCCCAGGTGGACACCCCTTTCCCCAACATGTTTCTGAGTTCCAAAGCGATGCAAAAAGCCCTGCCCTTTGGGAGGATTTCAGTCTGGAAATACTATTTAATTCACTCTCTCATTAATCGCGATACAAGTGTCTGCCATGGAGTAAGGCAGCTGCTCCTGTCCTGCGAGACAGTGCCTAGCCATAAAACCACAAGTAGCAAAACAAGGTCCATCTTCAGACTGAAAAGAGCTGAGGGTCAGCATGATTTGAACTGGTCCCATCAGGAAGTTTGCCATAAAAAAATATAATAGAGTTTGCTACGAAGTGCAGCTTCTGAAGCATTTGGGGAAGAGGGCTGGTGCATTTTGCCTCATACACTGTGGCTACTGGTATGATACACTGCTACCTGAGGCATTTCATGATTAGAAGTCAGATTATGGATACACGTGAGTATTTACTTTTAGGGAAGACCCACCACTTTTTTTTTTTCCCCTCCCTCCTCCTCCCCTCTTTCTTCTCAAAAATGAGAAATAGGCCCTTTTAGGGCCTGTCTCCAGTTGGATACTAAAAGTAAAAAGTCTAAAAATCCTTAGCAAACCCAGATCTTCTTGAAAGTTTCAGGGTCTCAACAGAGATTTGATGATACCCTCTCTTTGCCTTAAAGGTGGCAGTGAAGTTTCTAAATTCTGCCTGTTTTAAGCAGTCTCGATGGGGGCTCTACAGTCAAAAGCAGGCCTCAAAATCATGAGGAAATACTGGAACGTGCAAGTAAGCATATATTATATACACACACATATATATTTATGAGCCCCCCAGGGTAGGGCTATGGACAACTACTGTTGCTGTTCTGACAGGGGTATGACAAGATAAGCTGGGAGATACATTTCCAGCATGTCCACCTTGTTACATGAGCTGTGTGCACAAATAGCTTCTTGCCCAGAGTTAAATGAGTAAAGGACTTTGCTAAGGCACAGGGCACAGGAGCAAGGAGAGGAGCTGGCCTCTTGCAGGTTCATTCTCTAACTTATTCTTGGGCCACTACCCTGCAGTGTCACCCTGAATGTCCTCCTCTACCAAGCAAAGGTGGTGTTAGAGAAGCTTCTGCAAAATGTTTCCTTGTTTCCAATGCTTCAAGAGGAATGTGCATACACACACACACTCTCCCCAGGGTTATAGGAGTGGTGCAGGGCCTGGCAGCTGCCTTTCTACTGATGAGAGATGTCTCTGATCTGAAACACAGTCACCGAGAGCAATGCAGCGGGAAGAAATGCATGAACAGCTTTGTGGACCATATGTGATGTTCCTACAGCTGATCTGCAAGGCTATCAAAGTTGCCAGGTGCTGAGCTACTAAGAGATGCGCCAGAACTGCTGAAAACTGTCATCTGGCTGCCACGTCCCCTCCTTTCCTGGATATCAAAGTATTCTGCTGCTACCCCTCTCAAGTCTTGCCTCATCTTCTCTGCAGCACTTTTCTTTCAGAGATGGAAGGCCTATGCCCTCTGCTCCTCTCCTTACAGGGCTCACATGGAAGAGGCCACTCCTTCCTGACAGTGACAAACTCGCACTGACCTGCTCAGAGAGCCAGGGTATTAGTCTGGTGCAAACCTCAGTGACCTCCATGGGAGAAGCTACAAGCTAAACAAATTTGCAAAGGTGGAAATGATTTGGTGGTCTCTGATTTGGGCTGCTGCTTTTAACACTCAGCTGCCCTGCTGTGCAGCACCTTATAGTATCACAGCTCGTGCCAGCTGATGAGCAGAGAGAAGAGGGTGCCCCAGTGTGCGCTGCGTCCTATTGATGCCCAACAACAACATATAGCCAAAGGCATTAATGTTGTCCCTCAGGAAGTGGGCACTGTGGGATCCCCTCACTTTCATACACTCATGCAGCCATCAATAACCCAAATCATCAGCAGGTGACTCACACAGGCTTGTCCAGGTTGGCTTCATGCACATCTGCTGCTCTAATGAGCAGTGCTCCAAAGGTCTGTTGTGTTTCTCTGAAACAACAATCCAAGGCCAAGGGAATAGATGTGCTAATTAAAGGTGAAAACAATACAACCCAGTGTGGAGATCAAGAAGCCAAAATAAACAAATACAAGACAATTGTACATTCATTATCATGCTTATGTCACAGCCCTCACACTCAAACTCACAGTTTTTCCTTTGTGCCAGAGTCACCTCCATGGAGCTATGTAGAGTCTTGTTGCCCAGGAATTCATCAAGACTTGGCTTTTCTCTGTACAGAACTTTCCATCATTTAAAAATGGACATTTTCTGTCCCAGTGGGGCTAGAGCTGCAGTGAGCTGTGTGGGAGCAGTGAGCACAGTGAGAAGAAACTTGGGCAAAAATTGAAGAAGAAGTTTCATGTGGATGAAGTTCAATGCACACCTCCATGCAGGACTCATTTTGGTAGGACTCCTACTCTGTTTTCTGATGTATTCCAAAAAGCTGAGCAAAGGATCCAATGAAGGATCCTGTGAAATGGAAAATAACCATTTCAGAAGGTTCTCAGCCTTTGTATAGAATATATCCACAGAAACATCTTGTACTGTAAGACTTCCTAGAAATAACAGAATTACTATTATATTGTACAGCTTCCTGAAACATCTGCTTTACGTCTATAAATCCCCAACCGTGGCTTACAACACGTGGAGTGATTTACAGCAGAGCAAACTGAAGGCTAAATGCTGTTGTGCCATTTTGTTATCACTTTGCTCAGCTGCAGCCTGCAGCATAAGACAAGGCCTTACTGCCCTGGTGTTCATTCACACAGCCCATTAGGAAAAAGCAAAGCTATCCTATTCTCTTCCCCATCCAGAAGCTATTCAGCACATACAAAATATGCATTTACCTTATTGGATCAGGCCATGGTCCTTTTAGTCTCCATCTATTTGAGACAGCAGCCAACATCAGCTGTTGCAGAAGAAGCAGGCAGGGAACAGTTGAAGGGTAACCGGTCCATGGGAGAATGTTCTTTCTAATCCCATGAGGTAGGAGCTGGTTTAGGCCCTGAAGCATGAAAATCAATTTCAAATTCAGTTGTGTCTAAATCAGGAAATGCCTCATGCCTACACTGACTTCATTAGCTCATCTTAGATGGTTACAGGGAAATTCAAGCCTGCGACTAAGTGAATAGGGCCTTAGGACCCAAAAGCCAGTCAGGAAGAACATGAGAGATTTTAGCTGTCATATATGTGAAGCAGGAAAGACGACATGAGTGGCTCTGGCAGTTCTCTAATCCCATTTATGATGAAGTATTATCCAAATATAGAGAGATGTTTTTAAAGGCAGACTTGCAGCAGAACAAAGGGAGATTAGGTCTCAGGCATAAAAAAAAAAAAGTTTTTCTTTCCCTTCTCATTTGTGACTAACATCATAGAGATGTCTTCATATAATTGTTTTTAAGGAGAATAAAAAGATGTTTTGAGGAGTGTGAAAGCTAGAGTGTCTCACCTCTTTAAGCTGAAAGAACATGAAATTCTGAGAATAGGGAACGAACATGAAAACCTTGGGGGTTTTGGCCTTCACCCCATACTGCAAAGCAAAGGATTGAATAAGAAAATGAAGAGTGAAATAAAGGCTGTAAGCCCTGAACACAGAGAACAAGCAAAACCACACATATCAACAAGCAACTGCTAGTAATGAGCCACAGGGTACAAATGGAAAGTATTTTAAACTATTGTCTCAGTGCATTCTAGTGGGACATCATATCTAGCATTTTTACTTGCATTTAGCATCCCCACATTGCATTAGTCACTGTACAAACACTAGGGGAACAGCAGGGACCAGGCAACTTTATTTTCTTTTTGATGGTGTAGAGAGTAGATAACTGTCAAGTACTATTTTTACTAGCACGGATTGGGAAGTTTTTCAAAGCAGTGTTTCTATCGTGAGAAAATGCCACAGTTGCCAAAACAACATTTTTGTAGAAATTGATAATTTCTGTCAAAAGTGCTGCTCAGGTCAAAGATGGAGCTACTGTTTAAAACAAGCCCCCCAGAGAGTCCATGGCTTAGCCCTGGTGCCCTCTCCCAGAACGGGGGAGATGCCCATCCACATCTTTGCTTTGAATCTGTCCAGCTCAGGCCCTGAGCTGGCTGAAACAAGTACAAAAATTTGCTTATAGTGTAGTGGAGAAAGAAAAATAAGCAAATAAAGAAGCCCTTGAGCCTTAGTTAAGAAAAACCATAGACTTGACCAATATTTTATGTGAATAGCTCTAACCATTGGGCTGTTCCTCTTGGCTGCTGGATCAGGTAGAAGTTCTTCCTTTCTTTGGCCATGCTCTGGCCTACAGGACTCACAGGCTCTGTATAAAATCAAGGGGCTGACAAAGCATTTCTGTTTCTCAGACTATTGTTTGCCCATTTAAAGTCTGCAGACCTACACCATTGCTGACTGCCTGAAGAACAAAACAAAATGACTATTTAAGGCACTAAAAATGAAGTCACTTAAAGCTGAGCTGATTAAAGAAGGAAACCCTCTTTCCAATTAGAAGTGGATTGGTTTCAGCTGGCTTTAGTGAGAAGCTTTGCCTCTGATGAGAGCTAAATGCCAGTTGCTTGATCCTGCAAGTATTTTGGAGACACTTCAGCAGCCACGACTTCAGTTTTTCCCTACGTACAACTCTGCAAAATGAGGCCACTCCTGCTGCAGCTTTTAAAGCCCAAACTCCTTTTCACTACATCTGTGCTGAAGCCTTCACACATCCTTGACTGTCTGAACAGCAAGAGGGTCAAGAAAAAATCCAAGAAGCACCATGGGTTTTTCTTATAAAAAGGCAGTTAATATGCTTCAAAAGACTCCAAAGATTGTTGGTGACATGCTCACTTTTCAAAACACTCAGAAAAGAGAGAAAACAGAGATGCAGCTGCAAGTACTAAGAAGCTTTGCCAGACAAGGACCTGTTCATCATAGCACTTGCTCCCAGACCACTCTGAAAACACTGCTAAGAAGGTGTCTGCTTTTGTAGTTAGTACCTTTGTTTACCCTCTCTCAAATCCTGCTTTTCAAAGAGGTTAGTTAAAAAAAGGAAAAAAAAAAAAAAAAGAAAAAAAGAAATCAAGTATGAGAATCCAGTTATTTCATGCAGGGTCCTAGAAAGCCTGTTTCAAAACCACAAGGAATGTTTCTGAAAAAGGCAAAGCATGACTGTGATAGATGAACCTGCCTGATTTTTGTGGCAATTCATGAGAAGTCACTAGGCTGCTCAATTTATCGATGCTATTTAAACAGCACTAGAGACACAATTCTGCAGGGTTGTTGTGCACATTTTAGCAACAGAAACTGGTGTCTTTTCAAAGTGACATTTCATTTGCTTTAGTCCTTCCAGTTATGAAAAACTACAAACTGCTTTAGGGAGAAATTCAACCAAATATTTCAAGCTGGAGTTAGTCACAAGGTCTGGACTGACAAAGAAGGAGGGAAAAAAGGAAAATAAGGACAGGGAAGAACAATGAATCTATATTTTCCCAAAATTTATCCAAAAAAAAGTTTTAAGGTACTTCAAAGAAATTAATTTTGCAATGCGTACTATTCAACAGAGATTTTAAAAATGTTTAATTTTGTTTCCTACCTTGAAACCCACATAGTGTCCACAGATGCAGCAGGAACGTAAGTTCACAGATGCGTTCATGTTCACGGCTCCAACTTTCAATCACGACCATCTGATTCCTCAGCTCCATGTGCTGCAAAACAGCTGCTGTTTTACCCCTTCAAAAATATCTCACTTCACCCCGCCAAAGCGAACCAGCAGCTTCTTCCAAATGTGATGACGCTGATGAGAATAAGCAATTTTGGCAGAATTGGATCCCCTGCTGTGAGCCAGGAGACTTTTGCTGTTGCAGACAAGTGTGGCTTGGATCTGCAAGGGGATGATCACAGCCCGACCAGCGAGCGAATCCTGCACACACACAGAGACTGAACTGGCAGCTGGTCACGAACGGGGGCTTCAGGGTTCGCTTCGAGTGCTCCCAGGCAAAGGTCATTATTTGGAAAATCTCTGGAGTTGTAATGTCCCTTCATGCATGGAGGATTTATGGAATAATGCTATGCTTTAGTGAGTAGCTCGTCTCACGACTAGCTTTGCCCCTTCCATCTTACAAAATCCCACAAAGTCCCATTTGAGTTTGCTCTCTCCTTTAATTATTAACACAATTTCCTAAATATTTTAGTGGCAGGTGGATAGCTTCACTCAGAAAGACACAGTCCCCAGAAGACCCAGCTACCGAAGACTCTTGGAGGGGCTTCTTGAGATTAACTACGAGAAACAGCTTGACCTTGGGGTATAAATTAGCACAGGGCATGACAAGCCACGGGGCATTAATGCTTGGCACGGGGCATTAACTTAATAGCGGTGCATGATGCAGCAGGGGGCATTCCCTTCGCGGAGGGGCTGGGAGCATCGCCGCGCGTGGGCGCAGCTTCCGCGGAGCGCGAGGGGCCGCGTCCCCGCTAGAGGGAGCGACAGCCCCGGGGAGGGAGCAGCCGGGCAGGAGCTGCTGCTGTGTCTGTCCCAGCCCCCGGCACCTGCCCTGGCTCTTGTCCCCTTGCCCATCTCCTGTCCCCATCAGGAGCAGGGACGTGGCTGCGCTGGGCCCAGCCAGCGAGAAGCACCGAGGATGGATGATGCGGAGGTGGCTGGGGTGGGATGAGGCTGGAGTTCTTTCCTGGGAGGGCTGCTTGGGGGGCTCAGTGAAGAGCACCAGCGCTGCTGTCAAGGACAGGGGATGTGCAGGGAAGGTTGGAAGAGTCTGGGATGCTCCTTTTAGCACCTGGTGACAAATGACAGCCTCCTTGTGCCTGGGGAGGCAAATACACCTGGCCCCCTCTGCCCAGGCTGTGCAGAACAGGCTGGCACCACAGGACTGTGAGCAGAGGAGGAAGAACCAGAGCAGGAGGGAAGGGACAGAAAAGGAGAAGATGTAGATGCTGCAGTGAGGGCTGTCCAGGCCCTGGAGGACAGTCCTGCCTGGCTGTTGTAACCAGCCTGGGGACTGCTAATGGACCTGGCTAACGAGAGCACCAGGCCCTGCTAAATGGTTTTGCCAGGTGTCCCATTTCCCCGCATCCAGATCCCACACATACCAGGACAGTGGCACCTCCAGTGGCTCTATAGCTCTTCCACTTGACTTTGCAGTTCTAGCAAGACACAAGGGCCACCAAGAAAGCTGGGACCAGAGAGGGTCAGAGCTGGAGAAGACCAGTGCCTGGAAAACCCTGTCCCATCCAAACAGAGGTTGGTCATGGTGTCCTTGGCATCTGTCCCAAGCCCAGGACCTGCCCTACTCTAGGATGGTGGAGGAGGATGGCAGGACTGGTCTCCCTCAGCATCCTGGGCCTCCAGTAGTCCAACTCACCGTGCTGGTGGCCTGGGCCAAGGCTGGGCTTTAGCAGAAGGAAAGAGAGGAGGAAAGGCAGGGGTGAGATGTACCCTCAGGAGGAGCCAGACAGGGGCCTGAGGACAACGGGACAGAGCCCCTGCCTTGCCTGGCACCCCAGAGGAGGGAGAGGAGAGGCCCGACTGGCAGGAGGACAGCCGGGGGTATAAATAACCTGCTGACTCAGGGGGGGCTCTTGGGTTTCAGGATCACGAGATGCAGACACCACGTGGCTCAGATGGGTCCCCCCCACCCTTCACTCTTCACATTGATGGGGACAACTGCAAAGCTGGGAGGGGGCTACAGCTGGAGCTGGGGGGCTTCAGCCCCTCTCTGCCTGCAGGGCCATCCAGCCCCATGCAGACAGCACAGGGCACACAGTCCAGGTGGCTCACGTCACCTCCACAGAAGGATATCCAGTCACCAGGGCCCATTGGATCACTAACTCCACAGCCACACATGGCCAAGCATTCCATGTTCCCTGTGGCAATCAGGATCCAGGTGTTCACACCTGGAGCTCTTCATGCAACCCACCAGCCTGGAGATTTCTGTCCTGCTCCACTCCCCTTCACCCTGGGTGCTGCAGACAAGGAGGATTCCCATGCACACTCTCCCCACACCACCATCTATTTTTCCACTCACAGCAGGACCAAAATAAACCCGTCTGGTCACTGCACAGCAGCTGTCACAGGCATCATCACGGCCAGGCGGGTTTCCCTGGCCCCTCGCTGTCCCAGCGCTCTAGCCCTGCTGCCTGCGATGGCTCTCGCTGAACCTGCCGCTCGCAGCAGTAGAAATAAGTTAGGAGCTGATGCTCTGCTCACCCCGGCATCCCCAGGGAGATCTCATTTCATTGCATCAGCCCATCTGAGCAGCAGAGCCCTGTTCATTTTCATTAGCCCATTCGCTCTCCAATTCTATTTACCTTTACGGCTATGTTAGCATCTCCCCACATCCAAGCAAGGGCTCCGCGTGCTGGACGCTGGCCCACGTAGTCTGTTAACCCTTGCTGTGCTCTGACAGGGCAGGCCCACAGCTCTGCCCTTCTCTGCAACAGGTAAACTGAGGCTCAAGGAGATCAGAGGCACCAGGAGCCCTATACATCTGGCAGCAGCCTGACACTTTGAGCCATAGATTGGCAAGAAACCAACCACCAAGTTGTCTTTTTTAACAGGTTTTTGCTTTTTTGGCCATGCTTTTTTTGACAGGTAAAAGGGGAAGCCCTGACAGGCTGCAGCCCCCATGCCGCCTTTCTCCCTGCACACCCCCAGATCCTGGTGCCTCACTTGGATTTTAATGCTCATTTACCATCTGACACATTCCGGCACTTAAATAAGGTCCTTGAGAGGCAGAGATAAGGTCTCTGCTTTCCTGTTCATCTTGCCAGGCTGTCTGCAGCAGATAAGGACGCTGGGCAGCAGGAAAAAGGTTATCTAGAAAGGAAGCCGCACAACGGCCGCTGTTATTGCAGGAGGCTTTGAGAAAAGGAAGCCCACCAGGAATCTTGCAAGTCCTTCCTGGCTGGATTTCAGGGATGGTGGGACCCAGCCGAGCCTTCCTGTGGAGCGGGTGGCATCATCCCACACCGAGGTGTCCCCAGCCCCCCTGCTTTCCCTCTCTGACCTCATCCCTCCTGGCCAGCACCTGCACAATAAAATGGATTTTGGGATCTTGGTCACCACATTATGGTTGGAGACCTGACTGTGCTCCAAGGGGGCAACAAGAGGGGAGCTTCCCACATGGAATTTGGAGACAGCACTTAGCCTTTCTTAAGGTTCACAAACCAGTAGAAATTTGCTTTTCCTTTGGATGGCTGTTTGTTACTTCATTTTCTAGTCTTTATTTGCTTGTTGGCTAGTGGTAGAACAACATATGCCATTAAAAAAATAATAAATCTTAAAAAGCACCATTTCTGCTCACATTTGCAGGCCTCCTTTCTGCGCCCCCCTCCAAATCCACCCAGCATCCTCACCACATCCTCCCCATGTGCTTCCCTATTTCGCCAATTCCCGTTAATCCGCACTTTACATAACACCAAACCTGGGCTGAGCGCAAAGGCTGTGCACTAACGTGCCGTTAATGCACATCTTTGGATTTAGGGTTTAAAGCAAGGAAAAGCCCCTTGCACCCAAAAAAACAAAACAGTGCAACCCGCTGTAGGCAGCTTCAAGGTGCAGATCCCCGTGGGGAGCAGGTCCCAGCTCCCCAGCACTGACTCTGCGGCCAGATGCCAGGGCTGAGCCTGTAACAACTGCCCCACGGAGTGCATTTAATATTGTGAAGGCGCCTGGAGGCAAATGCCACCAAACACCCCGAGCCCCTTCACCTCTGCATGCTTTGTAGCATGCATCACTTCAGCACTCACCTTCTACCTGCTCCCTGCAGGTCTGCCTTCCCAGCTCTGCCGTTCCCAGGAACGCGGGATGGGAGAGGAGGCAGATGGGGTCCCAGAGCAAGGCTGAGCCACACGTGGCAAAGAATGCAGGTTCCTGCTGGCAGGATCCACCTCTACCCATGTGAAGGTCCAGAAGGTGAATCAGAGGGAAGGGGACACTGCAAGGGCAGCAGGGAGCAAGTACTGCCATTGTAAATACCTAATTTGGGATAGATCCAAAGCAATGCCTGCAGTTAAATCCCCAGGCCCATCCTCATCATCTACAGAGGCTCAGAGCAAAGGGAGCACCATAATGGGAAGAGCCCCAGCATTTCCATGGCCTCAAGCTCCCAGACCTTGGGCTGCAGGCGCATCCTGCAGAGGCTCCCCAGAAACCAAGATGCAACAGCAGCAGGAAGCACTGGCTGCTCAAGCCAATTTATTCCAGCACTGCAATTAGCAGCTCATCACAGCCCAGCTGTGACCACAACAGAGGCAACTCAACTACCATTAAAGCAGAAGTCCCCACCTGTGGGGGCATCTGCCAGGCTGGGACCCTATGGGCTCCCCAGTATCTCCCCTGGCTCGGGCTGCCAGTGGTTAATGGTGTGGATGTGCCTCTGTGATTAACTTCTCCTAAATCTGCAGTTCTTCCCTGATTTCTATATTTATAAAGGGAAGAGGAGGGGGAAGGTGGTTTTACAAGGGATTTCACTCAGATAATGAAATAAATGTGATCATCTGAGGGACCTTTAATCTGCTTTGACTCTTGTGTCCGGGGAAGCGTCCAGCAGGGGCAGGAGGGGGGAATCTTTGCTGCCGCCAAGTCTAAAGCGGGAAGGGGAGGGGAAGTGACCCCATTCCCACCCTGCCAAAGAGGGGAGAGCCCAGGGGACACTCCTAAATCAGGTATCCAGCCGTGCCCCCCTTCTGGACCCCATGGACCCATGGCAACTGGAAGCATTTTGTTAAATTTGCGGTTTCTGACTTAACCCTCTGAGGCTGGGGGAGCTGCATGTGCTGCAGGGAGCACCTGGATCCTGCAGCCAAGCCCACCGCTGGCAGGCA